TCTTTAAGTCGGTTGTCTAGACGGTTTTTTTTTAAAAACAATTTCCAAAGAGTTTGATATAATCTATCAAACAACAGTTATTGATTTTCATTAGAATTAAAATTGAATTTGATTCTTGATACCTATTTAAAAGACGTGAAATATGTTAATGGAATTTTCATATTAATTTTTGAGAAATAATATTGAATTGAAACTTCAGAACTAATTTTTTAAATTTATAACATAAAAGTATTTCTTATTTTTATGAAAATATTTTTTAAATATTTCAAGAGTTTTAAATATTTTTATTCATTAATTTTAAATAATATTATAAAGCATTTTTGTAAGATTTTTTGTTCTTTTTATTTATTTATTTATTTTTTATATTTCCAATGAGCTGCACAATCGGTCTTGCCGATGAGCAGACCTAGTGTGTTCTCCAGAGGTGGTATCCATTCTTTCGGGACCACCACAATGGGTGAGATACCGTTGGTCAAGTTAATTTGGACGTCTAGTTCCTGCCACACTAGATGGCAGCACCGAGACTCTATTTGGACGCTAAAGTGCACTAGGAATTTAATTTTGCCTGAAATGCCAAGAGCCAATAAGGCACTTCAGGGATCTTTTACATGCCACATAATCATACGACGTGACCGCTGAGGATTTTCTGCATCCCGAAAATCCGGTGTCTGGGCCGGGGATCGAACCCGCAGACTTGGGCTCAGATGGCCGACGACAAACCAACTGCGCCACCCAGCCACATTTATGTAAGATTAGATTGGCCTTTTTAATTGCTTTAAACAAGGAAATCAGTGTTTAATTCTTTAAACAGTATAACCCACTTTACTATTTTATTTTATTTTACTTTACTTTACTTTACTTTACTTTACTTTACTTTACTTTACTTTACTTTACTTTATGCTATGCTATGCTATGCTATGCTATGCGAGGATAAAACTTATGTGGATGATCTTTGATGTCATAAAACGTATTACAATAGTTCGTGGTTATATAAAACTCATATTGATGGTCTTTTGCAATTAGGGACAACGTCCCAATATTGCGCAATGATAAAACTTATGCCGATGGTCTTTGATGATATGAAACCTATACCGTGGTATTATAAAGCAGATTATTCATGAAGATTTAAAAATCAGACAGATGGCTCTTGTTTTTATGAAATATATTACTATAGTTCTAGACCAGGGGTTTCCAACTGGCGGTCCGGGGGGCTGCATTCGGCCCTTGAAGCCTTTTTTGTGGCCCGCTATTTAAAATATATTATTTGTCATTTTTTTGAGGACGATTTTCGTAAAAAATCTATATGGGTTTGAAATACTTTTTTCGTTAATAAAAACCTAATTTCTTCGTTTCTGTGAAATTTAAAACACACCAACGATGCAAAGAAATTTATTTCTTAGGTTTTGCATCCAAGAAAATATTTATTCAAATACAAATAAAATCGTGTATGTTGCTCTTTTTTATTTCATTTTTTTGTATTTTGGAATATAATTTAGCATGTGCGTATTAGAAATTTTCTCGAAGAAATTCTCCGATTTAACTTTTTTGAAACCACTCATTTTGGACGAAAATATTTGCACACACATTTGTAAATTTTAAATTTAAATATCTATTCTCTGGTGGTTGCAGCAGACAAACCTGAATTTTCTCATTGAATATTTTGTGTGCTACTAGGTAAGTTTTAATGCCAACTTTTTTAAAGTTTTATATCATAACAATTAGATATCTGTCGCACATTAATTGTTTAATACATAGGTGCATATTAAAGTTATTGTAACCCAAATTTTTATTATTTATTTAATATTTTTAAAAATATTATTAATATGAAACTAAATATTTTTAAAAATCTACTTCTTATTTTAATTTGTAATTCAGTACTTTTGTTTTGTGCAACTTGGTAAAAATCTGACAGTAATATTTAATGTTCCTTAAAACATGAAAGAGTCCTGCATAAAATTATGATAAAGTTACGGCCCGCCATTTGATTTGTGTTTTTAAATGTGGCCCCCGGCCTCATGTAAGTTGGAAACCCCTGTTCGAGATCGTCCTTGATTACATGAAATGTATTGCACAATAGTTCTAGATGGTCCTGGATTACATGAAATATATTACAATAATTGATGATGATAACTGAGATGTGTCGATTATTTTTTTGCAATATTAAACGTATATTACAATGAGTTTTAATGTTATATTTAAAACATTCTTCGATTCCCCAGGATGTAAAATATTAATTTTCAGTTCTGCTTTAGGAACAAAAATTATTTTTTCTTAAACTTATCAAGCCTCTTTATAGTTTGAACAAATTCTATCTTTTTATGTAAACCATAAATTTAAAAACTAAGTTTAATTTGTCTTTTACATATTTTTTTGTTTTAAATTCGAAACATATTAAAATCGGGCCTCATGCTTCAAGTTAACTTACTGACAAAAGAAGAGAAAAAGCGTTTAAGTAGGTCAAGCAGACAAAGAGATTGAATATTAACAGCATACATTACAATATAAATAGAAACCCAGACATGTTGGACAAATTAGTTGCTAACCACTTCGATGAATAGTTAAAGATTCAGGTGTTTCTGGTATTAATGAAAATGAATAAAATAGGAGAAATATTTTGCAGACGACAATAATGGATGGTGCACTCGAATAAGGGATTGGAGTTACTACACTGAAGCGAAAAAAAGTTTTTATAAACCCTGTTTTTCAAAAGGAACAAAAAGAAGAATATCTAATTTTTGGAATCTTAAATGAAAAACGTGGGGCTGTTCATTTTAAACAAAGTTGGGAAATTTAAAGTGAAATTTAAAGTTTATTGCAAAAGACCTAAGTATTTCATTATGAGTCTGACAAAGATAAAAACAATTTTATTCTGTAATTTTTTGAAATTTGGCAAATTTTTTGATTTTGGCTGCTACAGTGTTCTCCCTAAAAGTCTTTAGAACGATGGCCAGCCCTGCCTGCCTTTTGATGCGCTTTTTTCAACTTTTTGTAAGAATTAGCCGCCATCTTATAAAAATACTGCCGTTTTATTCATATTTTATTTTTAAAAAATTAATTCACTGTGTAAGTAATAATTTCATACTGGTAAAACTATCAGTCTTCATAAGTTAAATTCTGATTACTTTTGTTAGGATTATTCCCAACTGGTTAAATTTTTATAAGTTTCTCTTTTTTTCGGGTGTATATTGAGGAATTTTTTAAGTGATTTTAAAATTATTTTTTAAAACTTTTTTTTTTAAAAAAATTCAATTTTAAATATTAATTTTCTCGTAATTTTCAGTTTAAATTATAAAAAAAAGCTTTTAAGTTGTTTATCCATAATTATTTCTTTTTCGGTTCACTTTTTTTTAAAACAAATTGTGCATGGTGACTTTCTTCTAGCATGCCTTTAATTATTTTTTTATAAACTACATGCTTTTTTCTTATTTTGATAATGATCGAGAGAGTATTACTTTTTGAAATATGCACATGAAATAGTATAAAGGGCCAATTTAAAGTTTGTTGAGGATAAAATGCAGTTATTACATATTATTACACATTTTGATAAATGTTTACAGTGTGAAGTGCCCTTTCAAAACTCAAAGTGCCCTTTTCTGTGTGGAAGTGCCTTGCCCTTTTTTATTTCTGGGGAGAAATCTGCTGATATATCATTTATTTGTTAGAACTTCAAAAATAAAATGTTAAACCACATCTTTCTTTTTATTATAATCTTGAACTAGAATGATGATAAACCATAAACAGTCAAAAAAAATTTTAAACATTTCGAAGCATATTACCTTTTTTTGATGAAACATAATATCGATCAAATAAATTAATTCCAACAAATTAACACCAATATCGTTAATTAGTTGGAATTTTGAAGACATAAAAAATTGAATCACGTCTTTCAGTTAAGTTTACCTTTTAATTAGATAAGTTAAGATAAGTTTACAGTCACACTAGAATGATCATTCACTTTAATTCGTTACTTTAAAAAAATGCTCACTTTAATTTGTTAAAACTTTTTAAAAAGGATAAATAGAATCACATATTTTAGTTAAATTAAGCGTTACACTAGAATGATCCTTCAGAATAACTTGTTATTTTAAAAATAATGCTCTCATTAATTTGTAAAAATGTTTTGAAAATGATAAATAGAATCACCTTTTTTAGTTAAGTTTAGCGTTGCACAAGAATGATCATTCACTTTAATTTGTTACATTAAAAAAATGCTGTTCACGTTAATTAATAAAATTTTTTAAAAAGCGGTAAGCTGAATTGCATTTTATAGTTTAATTTAAACTAGAATGACAATATAACATGCTGAATAAGACTACTACACTGGTTTAAAGAAATTAAGAGAATTTGCAGACTTGGTCGATTATCTCTAGAACTACTGGACCTATTTTAATGGAATTTGATATGTAAATACATTGATACAATACAAGACAAATAACCATTCAATAATTGTAATACACACACGCATGATCATGCGTAACACTCGCTGGATTCGGAAGGTATGAAACAGCAGTTGCAGAATAAACAGCAACAAAAATATGTTATTGGGGGGTATGGTCCCCTCTTATAGATAGATATACAAACCTTGCAGTGTGATACTTGAAATAAGGCAGTTTATCATTTTCTGCGGCAATTGTCCTGAATTGTCCTGTGACAACTTCATACCTTCCGACTCCAACGAGTGTAATGCATGATCATGTGTGTGTATTACAATTGTTGAATGGTTACTTGTTTTGTATTGTATCAATGTATTTACATATCAAATTTCATTAAAATCGGTCCAGCAGTTCTAGAGATAATCGACCAAGTCTGCAAATTCTCTTAATTTCTTAAACCAGTGTAATTAAATTGATTATTTATCATGCTAGAAAGTGTCAGTGTGGTCCTAATTGACAAATATAAAAAAATTTTTGCATAAATATATTCTTTGTATCCTATACATATCCTAATTTTCATATATATATATATTGTATGCTAAAACCATCTTCTTTGTTTAAATGTAGGTATAGATTTTAAACAGAAAATAGTCAACCTTGATGGTATGCCAATTAAACTACAGATATGGTAAGATTATTTTAAAGATAACTTTTAGAAATGAAAAAAAATTTTTTAAATCAAAGTTAGATCTTTTCGAAAGCATTTAAGACTGTAATTTTGTATTAATTTTATTTTCATTGTACATAGGGATACAGCTGGTCAAGAAAGGTTTAGAACGTTAACAACTGCCTATTACAGAGGGGCAATGGTAAGATTTATTTTTATTTTAACGTTTTATGAAATGTTTCATGGTTTAACGTTTATGAAAATTTATGAAACATTTAATATTAAAAAAAATGCACATGAAGATTGCGAAATAAAAATTTTTTTCATACGATCGAGAAAAAAAAAAAACTTGGTTCTTGATTGTTGACATCCTTCTCCCAGAAATAACAAAATGGTATCGTCGGATACCACGTGATGAAAGCGGAGCCAAGTGTCAACTCCTGGTGAACAAACTTTACCTGCGAAGAACTGTTCTCGCAACTTGTGCTTGCGACGAATTGTGCCCGCGACGAACTGTCGCCTCAACGAATTAAGCGCGATGAATTGTCCCACGACGACTTGATGCGACACTTTTGATGACGTCTCATATGTTTCAAACGCTGCGTATATTTTCCTTTTGAAGAGCTCTCGCCTCCTAATGATGCAACTCGGGTTCAAATCCGATCGATACGAATTTCACACCCGGCTCGCACCTATCACACAGTGCTGACGTAAAACATCCTCACTGGTTGATGGATCATGATTTTGAGTCCTCTTGCCGTCAAGCTAACCGTGAGAGGTTTTTAGTGGTTTTCCTCTCCATGCGACACAAACGCGGGCTAGTTCAATCAAAAAGTTCTCCACGAGGGCAGATTACCCCCAATTCTCAATCGAAGTGTTCCCTTGTCTTATGGATTGGGTTCAAAATTAAAAGGCTACGGAGTTAAGCATTGGCAGTCGTAAACTCAAAAAAATCGGGTCAGCTGTTTAACAACTGTTATAAAATAAAAAATTAAAACCAGAAACAGTTTAAAACTCGTGAGAGCTAATTTTTAAAGGACTTAATTTATCCATCCTCTGTTTTCTGTACTGGTAAATATTTTAATAAAATGATAACGATGGCTATTAATATAATATTTTTTGGCTGTTGGGTCTAAATTTATTTTTAATTGTTCTAAAACTGTCCTCCTTTGCTGCCTTCATTAAAAAAGATTACATCTAAAGAAGTTTCAATTTTATATCGAAAGTACCACGCATTCTCTTTTTCATAATTTAAACAAAATTACTGCAGTAAAATAGTTAAAATGATAGTATTTTACCAAAGTCTTTTGATGTCAGTGGCGTACGCAAGGGAGGGGTTTAAACACCCCCCTTGAGCTCAGACAAAATGGCAAAAATAAAAATTTTAGTAAAAATTATGCGAGCTATTATTTTTTAAGACTATATATTTTTATGTGCCTTATGCCTACTTTTTTTCTCATGGTATTTCTCAGATTACAGAAAAAACATTTACTATAATAGGGTTGTACTTTTGAAACCAAAATCACGTGATATATATATATATTTGCTGTTATTGGATATTTTGGATGTCAAAAGGCAAGAATTTAAAAAAATTTAATTACTTTGAGAAAAAATCACGACCTGAACTTAGTGAGGTGACAGCATATAGTACCAATGTAAGTTTTTCTGTTGTACAAAAATATGATACTTCCGTTGAAGAAAACGTTTCTAGCATAACAAAATCTGATGAATGTGAAAATGGCCCTCAAAGTGTTACTTCCCACCCATATGACATTGAACTTTTTTTCAGAAGATATTACATTATGTTCTTAAACATAAAAAATCATATCAAAATTTAACTAAACAATGTTGTTTAAATAAAAAGACAAAATTGTCTAGCTGTCTAAATTAGGGAAATAATAGTGCTGTATTACAGACTCGAATTTCTCTTAGTAGTTTCAGAAAATTATGAACGGGTCTGGTTCATTTCATCGACAATCACTTCATCGACAGGCCATTTCATCGACACCACTTCATCGACAGGCCATTTCATCGACTAGGTCATTTCGTCGACAGGCCGTTTCCTCGACAGGGTTGTTTCGTCGACAGGCCATTTCGTCGACAGGGTCATTTCGTCGACAGGGTCATTTCGTCGACAGGGTCATTTCGTCGACAGGGTCATTTCGTCGCCAAGTGATTTCTTCGACAGGGTCATTTCGTCGACAAGTGATTTCGTCGACAGGGTCATTTCGTCGACAAGTCATTTCGTCGACAGAGTCTTTTCATTTACTGGGTCGTTTCGTCGACAAGGTCATTTCGTTGACAGGGCCATTTCATCGACTAGGTCATTTCGTCGACAGGCCGTTTCCTCGACAGGCCGTTTCCTCGACAGGGTTGTTTCGTCGACAGGGTCATTTCGTCGACAGGGTCATTTCGTCGACAAGCTCTTTTCATTTACAGGGTCATTTTGTCGACAGGGTCTTTTCATTTACAGGGTCATTTCGTCGACAGGGTCTTTTCCTTTACAGGGTCATTTCGTCGACAAGTTATTTCGTTGACAGGGTCTTTTCATTTACAGGGTCATTTCGTCGCCAGGGTCTTTTCATTTACAGGGTCATTTCGTCGACAGGGTCTTTTCCTTTACAGGGTCATTTCGTCGACAAGTCATTTTGTTGACAGGGTCTTTTCATTTACAGGGTCATTTCGTCGACAGGGTCTTTTCATTTGCAGGGTCATTTCGTCGACAGGATCTTTTCATTTACAGGGTCATTTCGTCGACAGGGTCATTTCGTCGACAAGTAATTTTGTTGACAGGGTCATTTCGTCGAGAAGTCATTTCGTCGACAGGGTCATTTCGTCGACAGGTCATTTCGTCGACAAGGTCATTTCGTCGACAAGTGATTTCGTCGACAGGGTCATTTCGTCGACAG